GCCAGAAGCAGCGAAAGTGACCACGCGACGTGGCTCTATCACACAACACAGCTCGCAAGCACTGAATTGAGTTATTTCATGTGATCTTGTGCTTAAATGGTGTAAAATCGCTTGAATGTTTTAATTAGCAAGGCTTAAAAACATGTGCAAATTATTAATTTTTGTGAGGACACAGCATTATCATCAGTCATCTGTCCCGACTCCCGAGCGTCTTTCATACTGGCCTCTGGACATCGGACAGTCATTATTCTAGAAATCTGACCTGATAATGAACAAATATTTTAGCTTTGCTTGGCAGCATAGAGGAAAATGTATGCATTTATTTATAAATTTAACAGATTGTTAAACTAAAGTAAAAGTTGAAAGATTTCTTATCCTGTGGCTCCCTCTAGTGGACTGCAGTTGTCCTCTATAGGGGGCAATATTTGCTCAGCCAATGTAAGTCTATGCTAAATTTTTGATTATTGATAATTAATACGAAAACTGTAAGTTCAATCAGTTAGAAAAGATAAAACAACAAACTACAGATCCGGTCCAAGAATAATAAAACGTTTAAATAGTATAATATTTTTCTCAAGCCAACATAACTAGCTAATAACTTCACTAATGTTAGTGCGGTGGATCAATGAATGCGGGAGAAGGGGAGAGATAACTTAGATACTGTGTATGTGTGTGTCTGTGTACAGCAGTAAACTGAATACAGTGTTAAATATCTCCTTGTTTCAGATGATGAGAGAGATGAGAACTACTGGCCAGCCTTGTGGACTGAAAGTCAGGCTAGGGAATTAAAAACAGGCACTCTTAAATGTGTACTGAAAATTCCCAGCTGATCAAACCTGTGCTCCAGGGACCATATTCATATAACATCTAAGGATAAATGTAGCTCTTATCTGGCTGAGTGAGTTAGATGATTAACACTAAACACTAGAAAATCAGTCCAGTAAATGTCATTGGCTGTTAAAGTCTTGTGTTGCTTATAATAAATGTTGATAAAACATAAGCATAAGCAGAGGCTGGGAGGGAAAATCCCAGTATACTCACTACAAAAAACTAGACTACACCACTGTTTATAGCCGTAACCTTTGAGACACTACAGTTTCTAAGCATGCATATCACTGCTAAAAAGAAAAAAGAAACTCACAAAAATTGCAGGACAGTGTAGCTATAGACTTGTTTGCGACACATAACTCCCCCACTTTCAACAGAACACAGATTTCATTTCCTCCACAGGCCACAGAACTGGAACAACTTTCTCTTCTACTTTATTTTTTTTAATCCAGCATTTCTGCTAAATGAACTGATTTTAGATGACCTTTCAGATTTATTTAATTATAAACATTTTTATAATCCAAGGGCGTATAGAATTTAGTAGGAAGCTAGGACATGTCCCTACCAAAATCCAGTGATTACTAAATTGTCCCTAGCAATAATTTTGATCAAACAATTAAATATATGTAACCGCTGTTGTTGTAATTTCGTCCGCATCTTAAATAAGACAAACCGTTGACATTACCTGAGAAGTTAAAGTTAATACTAGGGATTCACCGAATGTTCGGCAACCGACATTCTGCCGAAAATAACAAAAAAAGCTCATGACATTTTTGGTGACATGATTAAACAGCAACCAGCGTAGAGTGAGAGGTGTGCACTCTTTATAATGCAGCAAACATGTGGGCAATGTGGAAACACTTAAAAGAGAAAGAGCAAAAACCATTACAAGCACCGACAGCGAGAGACTGTTTAGCACTAAATTTTTGATTATTGATAATTAATACGAAAACTGTAAGTTCAATCAGTTAGAAAAGATAAAACAACAAACTACAGATCCGGTCCAAGAATAATAAAACGTTTAAATAGTATAATATTTTTCTCAAGCCAACATAACTAGCTAATAACTTCACTAATGTTAGTGCGGTGGATCAATGAATGCGGGAGAAGGGGAGAGATAACTTAGATACTGTGTATGTGTGTGTCTGTGTACAGCAGTAAACTGAATACAGTGTTAAATATCTCCTTGTTTCAGATGATGAGAGAGATGAGAACTACTGGCCAGCCTTGTGGACTGAAAGTCAGGCTAGGGAATTAAAAACAGGCACTCTTAAATGTGTACTGAAAATTCCCAGCTGATCAAACCTGTGCTCCAGGGACCATATTCATATAACATCTAAGGATAAATGTAGCTCTTATCTGGCTGAGTGAGTTAGATGATTAACACTAAACACTAGAAAATCAGTCCAGTAAATGTCATTGGCTGTTAAAGTCTTGTGTTGCTTATAATAAATGTTGATAAAACATAAGCATAAGCAGAGGCTGGGAGGGAAAATCCCAGTATACTCACTACAAAAAACTAGACTACACCACTGTTTATAGCCGTAACCTTTGAGACACTACAGTTTCTAAGCATGCATATCACTGCTAAAAAGAAAAAAGAAACTCACAAAAATTGCAGGACAGTGTAGCTATAGACTTGTTTGCGACACATAACTCCCCCACTTTCAACAGAACACAGATTTCATTTCCTCCACAGGCCACAGAACTGGAACAACTTTCTCTTCTACTTTATTTTTTTTAATCCAGCATTTCTGCTAAATGAACTGATTTTAGATGACCTTTCAGATTTATTTAATTATAAACATTTTTATAATCCAAGGGCGTATAGAATTTAGTAGGAAGCTAGGACATGTCCCTACCAAAATCCAGTGATTACTAAATTGTCCCTAGCAATAATTTTGATCAAACAATTAAATATATGTAACCGCTGTTGTTGTAATTTCGTCCGCATCTTAAATAAGACAAACCGTTGACATTACCTGAGAAGTTAAAGTTAATACTAGGGATTCACCGAATGTTCGGCAACCGACATTCTGCCGAAAATAACAAAAAAAGCTCATGACATTTTTGGTGACATGATTAAACAGCAACCAGCGTAGAGTGAGAGGTGTGCACTCTTTATAATGCAGCAAACATGTGGGCAATGTGGAAACACTTAAAAGAGAAAGAGCAAAAACCATTACAAGCACCGACAGCGAGAGACTGTTTAGCACTGCATCTCATGTCTTCGATGAGAAGAGGAGGGTGTGGGTGTTTCTGGTTTCTGTATGATGATTGAAATTGCGAAATGGCCTTAAAGCCTCCGGTTTCAGCTCTGGTTAGTTCTCAACACATGCTAAAAAAAGTGTGCGTGGAACGGAGGAAGTGGAGCGGGGGAGGGGGAGGAGGGGAGACAGAACACACACAGCGTCGGGTTCAGACAGTTTCATTTCGCTCCCATCGACTTAAAAACACAAATAAATGCACAGCCATTTGCACTCTGCATCGAAAACATACGTATATATGAACGCTCTGTTGCACCTCTGAGTTGTAAAAACGGTTATAATCACCAAGTGAATGAATCGCGTTTGTGCCGAACTCTTATTACAAAGCAAAAACAAACACTCTTCTTTGATCCATGAACGTTTCTCTCAATTAATGTGCGCGATGTCATCTCACAGTCTGAAACGTCTGTCATAGCTAATCAACACATGCTGTTGTGAATAATTAAGCAACATGATAAGAACATGCAGTCTCATGAATAATTTAATAGACACCGACGCGTCATCGATGTACCATCGTCCTTTGCCACGTCACAAATTGTGACGTCAACACGATGAAGATTTTAAACCCGGAAGATGAAAATAGCGCAAAAAAATCTTAAAATTAACCAGTTTTCTCCAACAGTTAAAATAATCGGATGCTAACATTGTCTTCTATGATGTGCAACACAAACACTCTGCTAAAATCTAAAACACAGTAGTCTGGGGTTTCATGACCCTTTAAACAATTAGTAAATAAACTGCAGAATGTTATGTTTTCTAATGCACTCATGGATTGCATGCTCAGTAACATTTTTATGAATTTTTACAAGGCGTGGATGTGACAATGTGATAGTTGCAACAAACATCTTCCCAAATTCTTAGTGAGAATCATTTATAATCCTGCTGTTGTCAACAAAAAGAAGCACTGAGGTCTTCCTGTGGGTTTCTGCCAAAATAAAAGCTGAGAAAAAACCAAGAACTCCTTCAACATTCTTAAATATTAGTATTGTAATTTTACTGTTGTTCTGTAAAATAAAATAAAAAAGACACTCTTTTGCTTGGCATACTGCAACACAACTGAGTGGCTCTTCTCCAGGCATTGCAAGGGACAGTGAATCAGGCACTACATTACATCTCCCTCTCCGATAACTCACAGTAAAGTCAAACTCCTGGAGTCTAATAGCCCACATAGTAAGTCTTGATGTTGGGCGAGGATGGTTAAAAACTAGGGCTGCACGATAAATCGCATGTGATATTTAATGCGCATCTTGTCAGAAAGCCGGTTCTGTAATGCAACAAACATCTTCCCAAATTCTTAGTGAGAATCATTTATAAACCTGCTGTTGTCAACAAAAAGAAGCACTGAGGTCTTCCTGTGGGTTTCTGCCAAAATAAAAGCTGAGAAAAAACCAAGAACTCCTTCAACATTCTTAAATATTAGTATTGTAATTTTACTGTTGTTCTGTAAAATAAAATAAAAAAGACAATAATAATGATAATAACAATTACAACAGCTCTATTAATACATTATAACATTCACACATAGTGTTTAAATTGGGATCTGTAATATTTTCTAACGTTTTAAAAGAAGTTTCTTCTGCTCAGAAAGGCTGCATTTATTTGTACAATAAAAATACAAAAACAGTAATATTGTGAAATATTTTTACTATTCAAAATTATTTGCTCGTTTATAATGGGTTTTATTGTTTTGGTCTCGTCGCTCTGGCCGGACAAGGCATCATCATAATAGGGTGAGGGGCGTAACATTTCCGTCACACGCTTGAGGTATTCAGCCAATCACAAATAGAATTACACAGAATACATTTCAGAAAAATTGATGTTCAGATGAAATGTCAAGAATAATTAGAGCATACTCATTCATTATATGTGATGAAGTCTTGTGACATCTGTCGTTTAACAGTTTACCTCATCTTCTACTGCTGGGAACTGCCCCACTAAATTCCAGTTCTGTTAACACCTTTTGGTGTTAATGGTGTTAACCACGTCAGCAGCACTAATCTGGTCAGCGAGTAGGAGTCATTTTTCTTCAGCATATACACACATACTGATTATGCACTGGAGGTAGTTTCTGAAATAAACAATAAAACAGAAATAAACTAAATGTTTACATACTGTTACAGTAAAAGTCATACATATAACAAGTCAAACATATAAACAACTTAAGGTACATTATACAACATCCTCATTATGAAATTAAAGTATAACAAATGTAGGATATATGTGACCCTCAGTGAAATCCAGGCTAAAGTCTCAAAATCTAATTATGAGATAACAAGCATCAAAGTTGATCAACCATTAATTTCACTATGATTTCAATCTTTGACATGATCTTACTCAGTCAGTAATAAAGATATCAATATTATATGACACTTGACTCTACATGACACAAGGAACTCAAGGCCTAAAATGAGCGGAAAAGCCAAGTCCCTCCTTTTCATACAATCCATCACAGCTTTTCCCATTTCTTGCAATTGGTCTTCTAGAGATTTCTTCAGGAGTCTAGTTTGCTTTTCTACAAAGTCAGTAAGCTTCTCCTCCAACTCTGTCCGACTTTGGGTGTCAGGTGATGACTGGGTGGACATTTGCTTTGCTAAATCTTGCATCTGTCCCTCTACAGCAGTCAATCGACGGTCATACTGCTGAAAATGATTATGAATATGTCTTTCCACTCCCTGGACACGTTCCACACCCTCTTTCTCCATCTTGTCCATTCTGAGTGCAAGTTGACCCACCTTGGTTGCAATGGTCAGACTGATCAAACTTTCCTCGCCTTCATCCAGTGGTAGTGGAGGTGGTAGACAACTTGAGTCATTATCCTCTTCTGGAACAGTCAACCCTCCTTCTGGTTCTATATAAAAACTGCTGAAGGAATGTATTAGCTCTTGAACTGGCTCACGCCGGGTCGTGAAAGGTTCAGCACTATAATCTGATTCCATTTTGGGGATAGACTCAGTGTTGTCTCATGCAGGAGCTTCCGCCAAGACTTATACTACAAAAGATAAATCAGCTATCAATTACAAATGCTTCCACAAATTGTAACCTACCACTTGGGTGAACAAATGGGGAAAAGATTGGAGTTACACATAGATATATTGGAAAGACATAGCATATGATTGATTCAAAGAACATGCATTCAATTCACTCTTCAGGAAATTGCTAAAGTGGTGATCATGGTCCCTGTTCGGGCGCCAAATTATGTAACAGTCACCAACATCAAATGTCACATAACTTAAATGAAGGGGAATCAATCACCTTTGAATAGCATACTATATTTCCTTTAGGAGCACACAACTACAACATCAAATACCATACACGTCTAAACCATATATTGTGCAACAGAAGTCTCAAAATCTAATTATGAGATAACAAGCATCAAAGTTGATCAACCATTAATTTCACTATGATTTCAATCTTTGACATGATCTTACTCAGTCAGTAATAAAGATATCAATATTATATGACAAATCAGTGGTCTGCCGTTTACAAGTTAGACTCCTAAAAACCACCTTTGCTCATGCAAACAAGTGCGTGCACAACCACGGATGATTCATTTTCCTCTCCGGTCTGCGATCAGGGGTGGTTTAATGTGGTCAGGGGCCCCTAGGCTGCTCTTTGTGTGAGACCCCCCTTTAATCATTGCTTTACTGGAGAAATGTATTTAGTGCCATACATGGTCCACACGCAAATAGTAAGGTTGAGACAGCCAATCCTACAGTGTTTCCTCTACATTCCCAGTGTCCCCCACAGGATTTTGTGAGACTGTGATGGGTGCACATTGGTTCCTCTAGTCTAGGGGGTTCTGCAGGTATAAGAAAATTTTGTTCATTTTAAATTAAAATGCATAAAGAATGTCCTTGGTTCATCACAGTATTGTAGACGTTTAGGATGTTAAAAGGATAAAGTCCAAGATCATCCACAGCGATAATCCAGAGTAGAGTAGAGAGCAATCAAGACAAAATTCCAAGGTTGAAGTAAATAGTAAATCAAAAACATCGACCAGTTGAGTTGAAATGCCCTCAAAATTAAGTGGATACACAAACCCTATTGAGATGTAGAACACCAATGTTCCTCAATAAGGGTTGGAGTAAGCATGGGGAGAGCAAACACTGCCAGCTCACAAGTGTCCTTCCTCAAACTTCCCACTCCTCTCATTCTCTGATCTAGAGAAACTTCACTGATAATGACTCCCTCACGCCCTTTCATGACTGGGTGGAAAATTACCACTGACTTTAAACACAAAAGTAAGGTAACAGCTTACTAGATCTGTTACAAACTGGCAATACTTCGCAATGAGCATGAGCACAGTCTCTGGCTATAAAGCAACCAAACAGGAAATGAGTGTAGAGGAAGCAGAGGGAGTGGAACACAGTCAGTACTCGGGTGAAGGCTTTATTAGCTTGTTTACCCGTGGGGACCACAATTTAGGTCCCCACCGGGACACGAGTCCCCATGAGTCTGTGTGTATTCAGGTTTAAGTCCCCACCAGAATAGAAAAACAGGTGCACACACACACACACACATATTGAGACCAATCCTACAGTGTTTCTTCTACATTCCCAGTGTCCCCACGGGATTTCATGAGACTGTGATGGGTGCACATTGGTTCCTCTAGTCTAGGGGGTTCCAGGGGTATGCACCCCTGGAACGAGGACGCTGAGGCCGAGTCTGAATCCATGTGCGGGAGTTTATTGAGGACAATTTCAGTAAACAGGAACGTCAAGGCAGGCAGAGGGTCAAAACCAGAATAACAGCCCAATTTAACAACACTTACAGGGGCAATCCAGAAGGGTAAAGTGAGCAGGCAGGCAAAAGGTCCAAACACATGCATCCGCTTTTATCTTATTTATTTAAGCTGTCTATCTTATTTATCTCTTATCTAACCCTTATTTATTTATTTGTAAAGATTGTTTCGATCTATCAGAGTTGTGGCATGATGTTCATGAATTCACTTCAAAAACTTATTCTCACATTGAAAGTTTGTGTAATGAGGATGCTGAGGCCGAGTCTGAATCCATGTGTGGGAGTTTATTGAAGACAATTTCAGTAAACAGGAACGTCAAGGCAGGCAGAGGGTCAAAACCAGAATAACAGTCCAATTTAACAACACTTACAGGGGCAATCCAGAAGGGTAAAGTGAGCAGGCAGGCAAAAGGTCCAAACACATACATCCGTCCGATCAGGCAAACTAAGCAAGGGGGATAATCCAGGTAATCGTTAGGTAGGTAAACAGGCAGAATCATACACCGAACAGGCAGTCAGAATGTACAGAGAAAACGCTTGGTAAGGCAGGTTAACTGGCAATACTTCGCAATGAGCATGAGCACAGTCTCTGGCTATAAAGCAACCAAACAGGAAATGAGTGTAGAGGAAGCAGAGGGAGTGGAACACAGTCAGTACTCGGGTAAGGGCTCCCTCTGCTGGCTTGGCATTACACCCCCGTAAGAAAATTTAGTTCATTTTAAATTTAAATGCATAAATCTGGTGCATTTTGAGAGCAGAATCAAGTGACTAGATCAATGAAGAAATATGTGCTCTTGTAAATAATTTTGTGTTCTACTTGTAATTTATCTATTGGTTGCATAGATGTGAATGTGATGGTAGGGCACAATTGTCACTATATAAATTCTTATAAAAGCTACAAATTCTATTCTGTCAAGAGAAGGGAGTGATTTTCTCCTAGTCTTTTGAACATAGCACAAGAAATATAATGTGGACAGAATATCACATTGACACAATTTTAAAATCTATTGTCTTCAGAAGGACAAAGCAGAGTCTCAAATTTCACTCAGTCCTGTTTTCAACCCCCTTAAGAATAAAATTATTAATAAGACGAAAATTGAAATGACAACTCGAAATGTGCTGCAACTCTGCATGTTATTTAATTCAAGTCCTGTCTCTGTGCTCAGGGGCGGATTAAGGTGGTCAAGGGCCCCTGAGCTGCTCTTTGTGTGAGGCCCCCTTAATCATTATGCTTTACTGTATGGCACTTTATTTAGTGCCATACATTGTCCACAAGCAAATAGTAAGTTGAACTGGCATACACACACATACATTGAGACAGCCAATCCTACATTGTTTCCTCTACATTCCCAGTGTCCCCACAGGATTTTGTGAGACTGGTGGGTGCACATTGGTTCCTCAAGGGGATTCTAGGGGTATGCCCCCCTGTAAGAAAATTTTGTTCATTTTAAATTTAAATGCATAAATCTGGTGCATTTTAAGAGCAGAATCAACTGACTCGATCAATAAAGAAATGTGCTCTTCTCTTATAAACAATTTCGTGCTCTAGTAGTAATTTATTTATTGGTTGCATTGATGTGAATGTGATGGTAGGGCACGATTTCACTATATACATTCTTATAAAAGCTACAAATGCTATTCTGTCAAGAGCAGGGAGTGATTTTCTCCTCGTCTTTTGTTGTTTGATTATCATTAACGCTGACACTTAACTCAAGAGACGAGACGAGACACGAGATTGGGTTCACGAGAACTAGACGAGGCAAGAAATTTTCACATTATGTTCTACAAATTCTCAATGACTAAATACATGACTGGAAAAACAGTCTGCAGGTGCATTTTGTTTTAACTAATCATCTTGTAATAAATGTCATTTCAGTTCTACTTTCTGAGTATGAATTATATACTCGAATGGTAGCTACATTATGCTATTTCTAGCTAGAAAAAGCTCGCAAAACAAATGAAAAGTATTTAAAAGACAACCCTAAAGATGGAATATAAAAATGAAATGCAATTATTTACATAGAATGGAGAGAATATCCTCAAAGATTGGCTGGACTTCACTCTCATGTCAATAGTGAACAGGCAGTCAGAATATACAGAGAAAACGCTTGGTAAGGCAGGTTAACTTGTAACAGTCACCAACATCAAATGTCACAACTTAAATGAAGGGGAATCAATCACTTTTGAATAGCATACTATATTTCCTTTAGGAGCACACAACTACAACATCAAATACCATACACGTCTAAACCATATATTGTGCAACAGCGCTGTCGGTCTGTCCCTATTTAGAGGCAAAACCTTTTAAATGTCCATTCACATTAAAGTTCTGAATAACCACAAATGTCCTTGGTTCATCACAGTATTGTAGATGTTTAGGATGTTAAAAGGATAAAGTCCAAGATCATCCACAGCGATAA